ATATATATATATATATATAGAAAAATAAGACAATGAAAAATAATTAAAAATAATAATAGTAATAACTACTATTATCCAAAAGCAAGGACCAAATTGTAAAACACGCCTAAATTGAAAGCCTGATTTTGAATCTGATGCATTTTGGCGTCAAATCTTAGTTAAATGAAACGACGCGTTTTGGGAAAAACGACGTCGTTTATGCACTGTTCATATGCACTATTCATTAAAAAAAAACAGAAAACTCAAAACGGTGTCATTTTGAACAGTACCATCATCTTCTTCCCCTGGACACGCAGAGAACAGGGGAAGAAAATGTATTTTTCTCCTCTGTTTTCACCGATCTTTTTACCGACAATTCAACTTCAAAAAGACGCCGACACAACCCACTTTCCACGTACTCGAAGAACGGTGGAGGAGCAGCTGCACAATGGCCGCCCCAGCCATGTCCCCTCCCTTTTTTTTTCCTATAAAAGCAGGGGAGGCAGCAAGTGAAAGGAGGGACAAACACGAAGAGAGGGAGAAAAAGAAAGAGAGAAGGAAACCAAACACGACAGAGAGGAGAAGAGAAAAGAGAGAGCAAAAAATAAAAATAAAAAGACAAAGAAGAAGAAGGAGAAAACCGTGAAAAACCGAGGAGAGAGAGAGAGAAGAAAAACACAGCAAAACACCGGCCACCGTGTCTCCGCCGCCAGCAGCACCGCCCCGACACCGATCCCAGGTAATCTTCGGTTGCCCTGTCTCTTTATTTTTTCTTGTCTACATTAGCATACAGAACGTGAATTAATTCACGTTCTGCAGCAAATGAAGGAGGGGGGTGGTTACTGTACAGTAACCAACCCATTTGGTTTTGGGCCGGGTCCGGCCCAACCCACTGATCTGGGCCGAGTCCGGCCCATTTAAAAAAATTAATTTTTTTTATATTTTTATATTTCTCTTTTTATTATTTATGCCTTTTTTGCTTAGTATTGGTCTATATTTTTTGTCAAAAAAAAAATACAAATACGGTATTAAAAATACCCGAGTTTTTTTATCAACTAAAAAAAAATTAAAATCAACAAAAAAAAATGTTTTTGTGCATATGACCAAGTGTCTCAAAGCTACAAAAAAAAAATCATATTGTATTTTTCATACATCAAAAACAATATTTTAGCATGCATTTTGGCTTTAATAACCAGATTAAAGTCAAGAGAACATTGGCCAAAATATCAAAAACAACAAGAAATTTTTTTGTTTCGTTTAATATCAGGGATTATGAGGTTATACGTAACACATATTCTTGATTTTAAAAGTTTCTTTGGTTTTAGATACACATATAATTAGATACCACAACATGATTTCATATTTTATCAGACAAAACAATGCAGCCTACCTTAGGTAGGGCGTAGTCGGGGTGTTAATACCTTCTCTTTACGCAACCAGTCTCCGTACCCGATATCTAAAGACCAGTTAGGGTTCCTAGTTACCAGAATACTAGGTGGCGACTCCCATTCAATGTTTTCACTGATAAGAGACAAGAATTTCTTGTCTCTTTATATCTTGCTAGAAATACACCACATCCCATCGTTAGCATGGATGGTGGATGATCGCTGCGACGCCGCACAACGTGCGACACACGTATCATGCCAACTTGAATTTGATGAATAGATCTTTTGAAACGGATGGTGGACAAGAAACTGAGGGAGATAAGAAAATCACTTAAATGAATAATTAATATCCTCCCGATTGTCATGTGGTTGTCAAAAGAGCCATTGCGTGGACAAGATAAACAGACTCTTTGCAGTGCGTGGACAAACAGGAACCATTAATGGCATAGAACGAGCGTACAATGGTAAAAGCTCTAGTGGGCGGAAAAAATACAGCCATGAGCTGCTTTTCGTTTAGTATGTTATTCTTTGTTTAGAAACCAGGGAGTTGTATGAAATCAAATAATTAAGTGGCGACTTCGTGATTCCAACATCCCACTACGCTACTCACGTACGTCCAACCAAGGGGAGTAGCATGGAAGAAACTGGAGTTGAGGCAATTGACGATGGAATTGTAAGATTAGATTCAGAGTTTGTCTTTCATTGGTTTATGACTTGCACACGTTGCATCTTCTAAAATCTTTGGCTTCTGCATGTGAAAAATAGTGCAAAGGATTTGTACTCATTATCAATAAACGTAAATTTTTATTCTAAACCATACAGACCACAAATTTAAAATTCATCAACACTTTTAAAGGACATCCAGGCTATATAATACAGTTTACTTTAAGTGAAATATATTAGAGGTGTTAATATAGTACCTTTAAATCAAATAATTAAGTAATAACTCCTCGATCCTGACGTTTCACCATGCTACGCATGCATATATGACAGAGAGTAGCGTAAAAGAAACTGGAGTTGATGCAACTGTCTATGGAATTGTAAGATTAGATTCAAAGTTTATCCTTCATTGGTTTTTGACTTGCTGTCGGTGCATCTTCTAAAATCTTTGGCTTCTTCATGTGAAAAAGATTGCAAAGGATCTGTTAGAGAAGTCCAAATCCATTATCAATCAACTGACAATGATTCTAAATTGGTGTTATCTACATGCATGTCCTTTCCATGAGCTGCTTTTCTTTTTTAAAAAATTCAAGGAGTTGCATGCATGGAAATCAAATACGAGAGCTGTGAGACCAACTAGTTTTTAAATCAACAAAAATTATTAAAAATTATAGTGGAAGAACGTGTATTGCTCAGAAAGGCACATAATTTAAATTTAATTTTTATTTAAGTTTTGAGGTGGTTAGGCTTATGAAAAGGTAATTCTCAAAATCTTTTAATTATAGTGTGGATTTATGGCTTTCGTTTCCCAATAATTGGATTAAAAAACTTCATTTATGAGTGCATAAAAAATCTCCAGAGAACTTGATTAACACAAGATACAAAAAATAAAATATGTTGTCTTTCCAAATGTTAAATGTTTGCTTGATTTATTCATTCTCCAACGACACTCCCAGAGGAGAGCACAAGCTACGTCAGGATAGGAATGTCCAAGTTCTTGCCAAGTCAATGAGCCTAGATATGACCGTTGGACTTGGGTTTCTCAACAACCATAAAAACAAGTTTTATGTTAAGCTTGAAAAACTCTTTAACGTTTAAGTTAGCAGTGATATAAGAGTAATGAAGCTCTTAAATACCGTGTTATGTTTGTTTGCAAAGAAAATATAAGGGACAAAAAAAAGTAATCAGAGGTTAAAGAAGAAGAATATAACGAGTTAGGAAATTAAAACCCTTTATTGAATGGCTCATGGATATTTATACATCCATGAGCAACATCAATTTTTATAGATATAAAGTTTGTAATTTACTATCGAGTAGAAACGATGACATGACGAGGATCATTCTGTAGGTAAAAGTATTGTTTGTGTTTCTGGTTGGAGAAAAGAACAGTAGGAGTTCTATGATTTCTTCCCTAATCTTCAACTCTCTTCTCTCTTTCTCTTTCACTCTCTCTTCATTTTTTGCTCTTCAAAATTGGCTAAAGTTCTGTGATAAAAGAGAAAGTTAAAGAGATAAAGGCTAGGTTTTCCTTCTTGTCTCTTTTCTTTTCTCTCTTTATCTCTTTCTATGGTACGTGGCTAGGATTTCTCTTTTTCTTTTTATAGCATTTCTTTAAGTGCCACTCATAATGCCCTCTGCAAAAGGCTGAAAACATAATACGAAATTAAAAAAAAACTGCATGGGAAGGTATCAAGAATTATGAAATTTAAAATAGATATGTCTACCTTAAGTAGACTTAATTTGTTATTTAAACTTAGCAGTTTAAATTTTGCTTTCAATAGCAATTACGAAACTAAAACATTAACTTCTTGCTGAGATCAAACCACGGACAAGTACAATATTATTTTTATAGTTTTATTAGAGATAACATGTTCCGCATCATTCATTCATTCTCCAATAGCACCTGTTTCTTTGACAAGATCTGCTGCCTTTTCTTGAATCAACTTCCACAAATCATCTACATGTCGTTCTTCAGTCAAGGTTGATCCGATCGCACAGCGTATGATAAACAAGCCACCAACCACAGCGTGAGTCATGAATGCACGACCACTTTCATTCACTGCAGCTAGAAGCTTACGGTTCAATTCCAAGCCTTGGCTTTCATCGTGGTGCTTGAGCCTAAAACAAACCAAAGAAAACCTCCTTCGCACCACCACCTCAAACCTACTGTCTTTAGCCACCAGTGACTCAAACCGCTTAGCCAAGTTCACATCGCTACGAATATGGTGCATAAGGTTTGCTAATCCATGCCTACGAATCACAATCCAAAGCTTCAGAGCTCTGAATCGCCTGCTCAATGCAATTTGCCAATCTTTGTAGTCCACTACGTCATTTGATTCACTGGCATTGTTCCTCAAGTATTCTGGATCACTGGACAGTGACTCGATTAATAAACGAGGCTTCTTAACCCACAAGCAGCAACAATCCATGTTAGTGAGTAACCATTTATGTGGATTCATGCTCAACGAGTCTGCAAGTTCTACTCCATCCAGGTAATGCCTGAATTCAGGGCATATGCATGCACTACCTGCGTAAGCTGCATCAATGTGGAACCATAGATTATATTTCCTGGCAATTCTCCCCAGATCCATAACAGGATCAACAGCTCCACATGCTGTAGTGCCTACAGTAGCGCATAAAAATAACGGCACAAATCCAGCTTTGATATCATTTTCAATTGCATCTTCCAATGCTTGAGGTGATAACGAAAATTCCGATGCAAATGAGGTAGAGAGGCATCGAAAATTAGAGGATGGAATTCCAACTAATTTGACGCCCTTAAGTAGAGTTGAATGAGTTTGATCAGAGGCATAAACTACCAGCTTCGTAATGTTTTCAGCTCCAATCATTCTCAAGGTCTCGTCTCTTGCTGCAACTAGGGTGCAAACTATAGCCTCACAAGTGGTACCGTGCAAGACACCACCTCCGTTTCCTGAGAACAAAAGAGTAGACGGGAGCTTGAGCATCTTTCCCATCCAATCTATTACAATGGACTCCAGTTCGGTAGCAGCAGGAGATGCAATCCAGTTGAAGCCAACAACATTAAGGCCTGTGCAGAGCATCTCACCAACAAACCCTGCAGTGCTTGCATTTGCTTGGAAGTAAGCAAAGAAGTTAGGGCTTTGCCAATGAGTGAGCCCTGGGATAATGCTATCAGTTACATCCTTGAGAACATCTTCTAAGGATTCCTGGCAATATGGGGCAGTGTCTGGCAATTGGGTCAATAAGTACCCTGGTTTCACTTGGCTTTGAACCGGGTTGTTTTCAATGTTCTTGTAATAATCAGCAATGAAATCGATCACCATTTTGGAATCATTGGTGAAACCATTTGGGTCTAAGGGGGAGAAAGTGTTTGTGGATAGAGAACCCATTTATTTCAGATAGATGAATGAATCACTTCAATTTTCTTCTCTTCAAGTGTTTGCGGATTTAGCATGAGTGTGTAAGGGTGGTCTTTATAGGAGATGCTCAGTGTACGGCCTGTTCCATAACTAAAAAATTATATATGTATGTATGTATTTATTGGTGGGTCAAAATGTGTCACTCCATCTATTAAATAATACACAAAAATAATTTTGCTTTCAATTTCTCTCGAACTCCCCTTCTTTACTAAAAACTTCGAGTAAAGATACACATATCATGTCAACTTTAGTTTGAAAATCAAACCTTTGCTTATTATGAGTAAGATGTTAGGAGATCCAAACATTCAAACACACATAACAATTTACATGGTTCGGCAACTTGCCTACTCCACGGAGCTGCTGGTTTGTATTAATCAAGCTCAAAAGCAATACAAACAACAAAACAAGGAGGAGGAGAAAACTTCTCAACTCAACTCAACTCTCACCCTTAGCACGCTCTCTGTGTTTCTCTCTATCTCGTGGTCTATCTCAGCTATCAGTGCACCTTCTATTTATAGCTGAGGAGGGAGATGATTGTTCAACAATGGTGGGCAAGTTAGGCACCTACCATTTGACTATGACTTCAACCATGGCTGCCACCAAACATGGCTGCCACCGACCATGGCTGCCACCGTCCCTGGCTGCCACCGTCCATTTGTGTCCACACATATAACAATCTCCCACTTGGACACAAATGGTGTTAGGTCTGTCTTTTAATCTTCAAGACCCACTGAAGCTTTACACAGCTTCAGTTTATCGAGAGTAACTCCTTTGGTTAACATGTCGACTGGATTCTTGCTTCCACAGATCTTTTCAAGTAACAGTTGTTCATCGTCGAGCAATTGCCTGATGAAGTGATATTTGATCTGTATGTGCTTTGTTCTGGAGTGAAATGCTGGATTCTTGGCAAGGAAGATTGCACTCTGACTGTCACTATACAAAGTACCTTTTCCATGCATCTTGCCCAATTCTTGCAGGAAACTCTGTAGCCATACTATCTCTTTTGCGGACTCTGAAACTGCAACATATTCAGCTTCTGTCATTGAAAGAGCAACTATCTTTTGCAAGGTAGAACTCCAAGAAACAGCAGTGCCTCCTAGAGTGTATATATAACCTGTAGTACTCTTTCTGCTATCAACATCTCCTGCTAGATCAGCATCTACAAAGCCTTCAAGTTTCAAACCGCCAGCTGTGAAAATAGGACATGTCTCCGATGAGCCTTTTAAGTACCTCATGATCCATTTCACTGCCTCCCAATGCTGCTTTCCAGGATTGCTCATATATCGGCTTACAACTCCCACTGCATGGGCAATATCTGGTCTAGTACAGACCATGGCATACATCAAGGAGCCGATAGCTGAGGCGTATGGAATCTGGTCCATGTATCCACGTTCTAGCTCAGTTTTTGGTGACTGGTCTCTACTGAGCTTGAAATGATTCCCCAGAGGTGTACATACTGGCTTAGCATTATCCATACTAAACCTACTGAGAACCTTCTTGACATACTCTGCCTGTGAAAGCTTTAGTATGCCTTTGTCTTTGTCTCTGATGATTCTCATGCCAAGTATTTGTTTAGCAGCTCCCAGATCTTTCATTTCAAACTGTTTTGACAACTGTTGCTTTAGCTTGTCAATCTCTTCCATGCTGGAACCTGCAATTAACATATCATCCACATATAGCAGTAGAATGATATAGGAGTTGTCAAAATGTTTGACATAGCAACAATGATCAGCCTGACATTTTGTGTATCCCGTACTACACATGAAGTTATCAAACTTCTTGTACCACTGTCTTGGAGCTTGCTTCAAACCATATAGGCTCTTCTTTAGTTTGCAAACTTGACTCTCCTTTCCTGGTATTGCAAACCCCTCTGGTTGTTGCATGTAAATTTCTTCCTCCAATTCTCCATGAAGAAATGTTGTTTTTACATCTAATTGTTCAAGATGTAAATTTTCTATAGCTACTATCCCCAGAACAACTCTGATCGTTGTAAGCTTCACAACTGGAGAAAATATCTCAGAATAGTCGATCCCTTTCTTTTGCTGAAACCCTTTTACAACAAGTCTTGCCTTGAACCGTTTGCTTCCGTCATGCTCGGTCTTTACTCTGTAGACCCATTTGTTTTGCAAGGCCTTCTTTCCTTCAGGCAGTTTGGTTAACTCCCAAGTCTTGTTCTTCAGCAATGACTCCATCTCGTCCTTCATGGCTAACTCCCACTTGCTCGAGTTTCCATCTTGTAAGGATTCTTCATAAGTTAATGGTTCACCACCATCGGTCAGCAAGATATAATTCAGTAGAAGTGTGAACCGTTGTGGAGGCTTTATAGTCCTTGAAGACCTGCGAACAGCTGGTTCACTTGGCTCTGCACTATCTTGTGTAGAAGTGGTGGGTACTGAAGTGCTTGAACTGTCTTGTATGGACTCTTGAGTGGTAACATCAGGAAGCCCTTCTAATTGTATGAATTCAGATTTCTGTGGACTCGTATCTGAATCAGTTATCTCTAGTTCTGTACTTGATTTGTCTTTGTACAAAACTTTCTCGTTGAAGATCACGTTCCTGCTTCTGATAATCTTCCTGTTTTGATCATCCCAGAACCGAAATCCAAATTCTTCATCTCCATAGCCAATAAAGAAACATTTCTTTGATTTGGCATCCAGCTTGTTGCGAGCATCAGAGTCTACATGCACATAGGAAACACACCCAAAGACTTTTAGGTGAGCAAGCTGTACTTCTTTTCCTCTCCAGACTTCCTCGGGCAGTCTGAACTCCAAAGGTACTGATGGTCCATGGTTGATAAAGTAAACTGCAGTATGAACTGCATCAGCCCAGAATGTTTGAGGTAGCCCAGAATGCAACCTCATGCTTTTAGCTCGTTCATTGATGGTCCGGTTCATCCGTTCAGCAATACCATTCTGTTGTGGTGTGCCTGAAACTGTCTTTTCCATTCTGATACCGTTGACAGCGCAATACTCCTTGAAACCTCCATCAATGTATTCTCCTCCATTATCAGATCGTAAGCATTTCAGCTTCAAGCCTGATTCAGTCTCAACCATAGCCTTTCATTTCTTGAATGTGTCAAACACATCAGATTTATTTTTCAGAAAGTAGACTCATACCTTTCTGCTAAAGTCATCAATAAAAGTGACATAGTACCGAGAACCGCCAAGAGATGCTACTGGAGCTGGTCCCCATAAATCTGTGTGCACCAGTTCTAGTTTTCTTGGTCTTAAGGTCCTGCCAACCTTTAAGAAACTGAGCTTCTTCTGTTTTCCGAGAACACAGCTTTCACAAATGTCTAGATCAACATTTTTTAATTCTGGCAGCTTTCCCTTTGACTGAAGTATCTTCATCCCCTTTTGACTCATATGGCAGAGTCTACAATGCCATAGCTGCGCCTGATTTTCTGCTTCAGTAGAGGCAATTATATCTGCTGATCTTGTGATCATATACAGGGTGCCAGTTTTCTTTCCACGAGCCAAAACCATTGCTCCCTTTGATACCTTCCACATTCCTCCAGAGAAAAGGATTGAATGGCCACTATCATCAAGTTGTCCGACCGAGATCAACTTCTTCTTTAGTTCAGGAACATGCCTTACATTTTGCAAGTTCCATGTAGATCCATTCATTGTCTTGATTTGCACATCTCCTATACCCACAATCTCCAATGGTTGTCCATCGGCCAGATAGACTACCCCATAATTTCCAGCAGTGTAATTTTGCATCATTTCATGATGTGGAGTATAGTGAAATGAAGCTCCAGAATCAAGAACCCAATCATCAATAGGACTATGTACAGCAAGGATCAAAGCATCTTGTACCTCGTTTGTAGTGGCATTTACAGAATCAGCTTCAGGTTTCTTTGGTTTTGTGCAACTCCTCATAAAATGGCCAGGTTTGCCACAATTCCAACATTCAACCTGTTTCCTGGGTCCAAACTTGCTTTTGCTTCTGTACCTGGATTTTGATCTGCCTCTAGATAAGCCTCTGTCTTGTCTCCTTCCTCGAGTGTTGATGTTGAAAGCTAAACCTGAACTTGAGCTTTCACCCGAGTCTTTTCTTCGTACTTCTTCAGCTAAAATCAGGTCTCGGATATCATCATACTTTAATTTGGATTTTCCAGCTGAGTTGCTTACGGCTGTTCTCATACCTTCCCAACTGCTTGGAAGTGAAGCTAGCAAAATAAGTGCTCGGATCTCATCATCAAACTCAATTTCAACGGATGACAATTGATTTGTGATGGTGTTGAAATTATTAAGATGCTGTGTAACAGAGGTGCTTTCTGTCATCTTCAGGTTGAACAGCTTCTTCATCAAGTGCACTTTGTTATTTGCTGATGGCTTCTCATACATCCCAGACAAGGCTTCCATCAATCTTGCTGTGGATTTCTCTTTTGTAACATTATGAGCAACTCTTCTTGACAATGATAGCCGGATAATGTCCAAGACTTGTCTATCAAGTATTTGCCAATCTTCTTCTGACATGTTTTCTGGCTTGCTCCCCAACAGAGGAAGATGAAGTTTCTTCCCATATAGATAATCTTCAATTTGCATTTTCCAATATCCAAAATCAGTTCCATCAAATTTTTCAATTCCTGCAGCCTTTATTTCATCAGCCATTTTTACTCTTTCTCGGATTTGAATCTCAAAAATCTGACCTTACAGATGTGTCCGGAATGGCAAAAAATGCTGGAAACGACACTGAGATCACCCAAATCGGACTTCGGATGGCTCCGATTTAAACAATCAAAAAATTGGGATAACTGGACGCTGCAGATGAAGCCACGTGGCAGGAGGAATAGTCGCTGCGCCACACCGGATCAAAACCCAGTTGTGCTGACGTGGATAGATGACGTGTTAGACACGTAAGCAATATAGGGTCCACCAATCTGACGTGGCAGATCCGCGGGGATTTTCTGATGACGTGGCAGTGGTGACGTGGCGGGTTGACCGGTCAGAATGCTGATGTGGCAGGGCGCGCGGCTGCTGACTGTGCCGGACGGCTGACGTGTCTGCTGACGTGGCAGTGTCAATTTGCAGGAAACGGCG